GAAGTGTAGGAGTAGGAACGGGGTGGTTTTTAGTCAGTAAGAGTCTGACACTCCCTCCCGCCTCACCCAGGCGGGAGAAGTCATTCGATGGACAAAAAGGCATAATTGTTAATTGTTAGTTATCGAGTTCATCATCATACCAGCTACCAATGCCACCAATGACTTCCAAATAGGCCGGTTGCAACCGACCTACATCCAGCGGCTCCTTGCGACTTTAAGCTTATTCGTAACAAACAAACAAACGTTTCATCTATATGGTATTGATGTTAGTATTACGAAGTCTGCGGTTTTCTGACTCATCACTCATCAATTATCTTATAATAAGACTTGGTATTGTTATTAAATGCTTGATAATAAATGCTTAATCGACTCTTTATTTGCGTGTTTGATGTAATATAGCGTATTAGGTACGTGTGCCTGAATCGTTGAGTGGCGTACTTAATCACGTCGAAACGGCTGAAGGGTAAATTATGGTCTGTATGTCACCAGATCCCGGACGAAGCTTTATTTATGGAATAGGAGGCAAACGAGCAGACGGATCACCTGATGGTAAGCGATCAGCGCCGCCTATCTACACCCGCAACACCAGAGGAGTCACAGGTGCGTTGCCGGCCTTTTAAAAAGGAATACGCTCTTTTCTTGAAGGTTTGAAGGAAGCTGCTGGCAGAAGCTAGCTCTATATACTCCCATAAATGAATTTGTACATTACTTACACCAACCCGTAAACATTTTATTTACAACTAAACGTGTTGAATATACCTGAAAACGTTTGTTAGCTCGTCAGTAGTCTCGTTTTCATGAATTTTTCAGTGGGTTTAGCTCGCTACCCTGAAACAAGGACCGCAATACGGCACTAGGGATCTATTTCGTATGTACGTGTACACGAGCTATACTTGACCTCTTACTTGGTCTCGGTGTGTACGATCTTTCCGTACACTCGACGGTCAGTTTATACTGGTTGCATAGCATATGGCTATATGGCCTCTGTAGCCACACCGAGCTATACAAAACCAATTTATCTCGGTCTCGGGTCGTACTGTCTTTCTCCACGTTCGGCGGTCTGTTTATACTGGTTTTGCATGGCTTGATGTGTTGTCGTATGTACGTGAAATGGGCCTTATTTGGCTCTAGTTGTTATGAACCTCTTTTGGGTTTAGGAACAAAATTGTGTTAGTTATTTACCTCTGCTTAAAGTAGTGTTTAATTAGCTTAAGTTTATTTATTTATTTGAAAAGTTGAAAAGTTTCATTCATTATTATGGACAAAGGTGGGCCTTAATGCCATAGGCATTCTCCTCTAGCCAGACCTTTGGGTGATGGTGGATGCAAGAAGCAACCGTAGCTTCATATGTTGTCCTTTCATCAGCCATCTTTATCCTTCTTGTAGCAATTACCCTCATTTACCTGCCGTCCTCCTCCCCAATCCCTGAATCCCCAACAATCCTCAAATTCCCAATCCCTAAAAGGCCGGTAATGCACTTCTAACGCATCTGGGTGTCCATGAGCGATGCTGACTGATTCCCTTCGCAATGCTCGTTTACCAACTTATCTCTCATAAAAAAAGCAAACTCAAAAGTCCGAAATGAAAAAAAGGACAAGCAGACAGGGAGCTGCATTTTCATTTATGCACGCTATCCTTCAGGCTACCGGACTACAGCTGGTGTCACTGAAATATTCACAAGTTCTGTATTGTTCCAGCATCCCTGTAATATAAACGTAGTTACTGGCTTCTGTCAGCGACTGGAATAACACATAGGGTACTATTTATCCCATCGAACACAAGCGAAGCCGCTGGCAGAAGCTTCTTCTTCTTATGGTGCCACTTAGTTCCTGAAGTTGGCAGTAAGCTTTATGGTCCTTGTCATTGGCGGAAAAGTTGTTCCAAAGAGCTCATACAGGTCCAGTCCCGAATATTGCGCAGCCACGACTTTCCTTCGCCCAGCGCTTATCTTCCCTTTCACCTGACCCATCACTATAAGATGAAGCAGCATATATCTGTCATGTCTCAGTGCGTGACCGAGATATTCAGGCAGACGCTAGTCATGTTATTATTATTAACAGGCTTCATTTCTCTATGTATTATTTAGTCAGAATAGGGAAGATGACGGGTCGTGAAAATTAAAAATGTAATTAGTCCGTCAGTGAGGTAATGAAAAAATATTAGACACGTATTTTTTTATTTTGTTGTTTAATAAAATGGTACTTAGATATAACGAATCAAAGTTTAGGAATAGGGGTTAAAACGTCATTTTACGTATAAAATGTACATAGAAGTGACGTCATGCGACATTTCAAATCAATATATCTTCGAAACTATTCGTTACCGTAAAAAAACTGAAAATACGTGTCTAATGTTTTTAAATAATCTTCCAGACGGACTAAAACAAAAATTAGTCATCTACCCTATTCTACATAATCACCCCTAACTGTTCTTAAAACAGTCTGATCAGTGAGCAATCTATCAAATACTTTGACACGGTAACAATAAAGTACAAATTCGAACAATCCACCCTAAATTGAGGTTAAAGGGCATTTCCTTCTTAAATTGTCAATAGCAGGAAACCGTATGTGCTTGAATTTAATGATCATGGTTAAAACGAAAACAAACTCTGTTTGTGATGAACGAAAGTTGAATATTGCTTGGTGTTTTGGATACAGTTGGTGGATTTATTTATTCGTACGTTAGGAGTTGTTTAATTGGAGTTAAATTGCTTGAAACAATTGATATTTAACATTTATATAGATGCTATAAAGTTTTGTTGGTGACTATACAAACTATAATCTTATAGGGTTTTTCAGTTTTCGATATGATTAGTAATAGCGAGCCGTCTGGTGTGTGTGGTGTATAGCAATTGTATTGAAAATCATTTGTGTTTTCTTAGAAAATTAGGGAAATTATGCATGGTGCTTCAGAGGATGAAGTAGAATCGACTTTCAGTTAGTCCATTGTTGAAACTAGTTGCTCACTTCAAAAATTCATATGCGTAATAACGAATATAATTTCATATTTTCTGCCTTATCCTTGTTACCATATAAGGCGTAGTATGAAAGTAAAATAAATAGCATACAATAACACGTATTTCTGCGTACAATATTCATACAAATGACCCCTAACCGCACCTAAGGGAGTCATTAAAAATTTCATTCCATCTCAGAGGCGGACTAAACCTAAAGAGCGCCTTAGCCAAGCACCTCATCTCTTCTCGATCGCTTGCTTCATTTCTGAAGGTCGTGCCCCTGAAAGGCTTTCATTGCGCTCTGTGTTATTTCCCTCCATCTTGTCCTGTTTTCGGCTTCTCTCAGGGCTTTCGTAACAGAGAGTCCAGTGTAGTTGGCAACTTGGTCACACCATCGGCTAGGTGATCGGCCACGAGGTCTTTTTCCTTCCACCTTACTAACAACAACCAATTTGTCGAGGTTATCTGACTGGCGGCGGGCAATGTGACCGAAATATCCAAGAATTCGCTGATAACATAGGCACCTCATAGGCGCCCCTAATTTCTTTTGGCGCCGCCTCTCTATGGGCAGTTGTGCACGCGCGTCTCGCGGCGCCCTCTGTAACCTGGCGCCCTTGCCTAGTTTGTCTTAGGGATAATACGGCTCTGTCCAACCTACGTGTGTACGTTGGTACGGGAATTCTTTACAAAACCAAAAACAAAAGTGCGTTGATGAGGCGGTTAACGAGCGTAGTTTACGCTTTCTGGGGACGGATAAAACCTTTTCAAATCCCGTACGGGGTATTTTAAGGGGTTCAAGTAAAATGGCACCTCAATTTTTGTATAGAATGCTCTCGGATGACGTTTTTGGAGGTTATTTTCAGTTTTTCTGCTTGTGGTGGGATTTTCTAGGTTCCTGTGCATTTTTGTGTCTAGATTTTATGCTGAGTTTGCGAATCGAGGTCTTAGAATGGCTAAGTTTGATTGAGTCTTATAATGATATGATTTATTAACGACGTTGCTCTATAAATGCGTTTAGATATAGTTTTTTTTCTACTAGTGTTGCTGGTGTTTCGGTTTTCTACTATTTTTCCCCCTATCCCATCAGAAAACGACCATTATAACGTCTGTAATAAACGGTAATCCTGAAAGACTACATTTCAAACTGATAATACATTTCTTTCGTTTAAAAACATACACGTTCACATACACAATGACACCCAGACCCGAAACAACAATTTGTGGATCACACAAAGTGTTGTTCCGTGCGGGAATCGAACCCGCGACACGTTGCACGGCAGCCGGTTGCCCAGCCACCGCACCAACCGTGCAGTCATTTCTAACTTATTTTCTGACTTTACCTGTTTTAATGTATTTGAATTGTTTCCAATAATAATAATAATAATGAGAACCTCGTGAAAGCTGAAAAAGATAGAGAACCTCGTGAAAGCTGAAAAAGATAAACAAATCAAATATCTTGATTTGGCTCACGAGGTTGTCGACATGTGGAATGTAGATTCGGCTATCATTGTGCCGATAGTCGTGTCGGCCAATGGGTTAATCCCTAATAGCCTCGACAACCACCTTAGGAGGCTAGCGTTAGGCAGTTGGGTCAAGGGCCTGATACAGAAGGCAGTTCTCCTTGAAACGGCGCGCATTGTGAGGAGGTTTCTGTCTCTGGAGCCCTAACCACTGGTAGCTTGGACCATGCTCCCACTACTGGTCGGCTCCTATTTTTATATTTTTAAATATTATTTTTATACTGTAGTATTTAAAAATGTAATTTTAGAGAAAGTTTAAATAAATATATGGAAATAATAATTTCAATATAATTGTTCTTTAATGTGACATAAATTAATACTGTTAATACAATTTTATATTTCTACACCGATAACGGTAGTATGTGTGGAACTTTGTTAATTTTAAGATCTGTGTGCACCATGTACTGAGAAATAAAGGACATTCATTCAAAAAAACTTTAAGAAAAGGTGTTATCGGCTCCGACGTCTAAACAAACAAAGCTCGTCGTCCTGACCTTTCCAACTTTCAGTATATTAATGATTCTCTCTCATTTGTTCCAGAAACTTCGCAACAAAATGGCGCAGCTGAAACATAAACGAGGGAAGTCCAAAAACTAAAAGAAGGTCAAGAAGATCGAACTCATAATGACCTAGACAGATATTGTGATAGAAACAGCCAATCATATAGGCCTATTTTACTAATTAGAAAATTTAACAGCGTTCCTTTAGCATATAGTGTCAATTAGCGTAAACCAAAGTAACGTTAGGGTCCTACCTCTATAGAAAGAAATTCAAAAAAGTATATTTTCGAACCAAAGCTAGTCTTTTAAGCATGTCGAATCAGATACCTATATATAGCCAGGTCGTTCCAAAATCTCAATACCGAGCGAAGAATTCTAAAGTCAATAAAGTTCAGAATCCGACGAGAAACGACTTCGACCCTCTGAATTATAATAACGGAGGGAATTTCGCCATGAGTTCTCCTCTTGACGGGAAGGAGAAGAAGGAGGATAAGCCTCGGAGGGTTAAAGAGGATTCGGGGAGGACTCGTAGGGTGAGGAATGAGGCGAGTGAGGGGAAGGTGGAAGCTTACTTGAGGCAGTACCAGGTCAGCATGAGGCAGCAGCAGCATCGACATTCCGCTGTAAGACAGGCTGAACACCGGGTTAATCTCAGGTAAATATATAATGTAGTATATGTTTGTCTAATACTTATTCTTATGGACTTTCATGTCATGCGACCATAAAATTACTTTGAATTCTTCTAAATTGGGTAGTTTCCAGGGTATCAAAATTAAAAATCTAATTAGTCCGTCAGTTAGATAATGAAAAAATATTAGACAAGTATTTTTTTTTATTTTCTCGTATTAAGTTGCAATACTTAGATAAAATGGCGCTAAGTTTTGATGTGGGAGGTCGTTACGTCATAACGTGCTACAAAATGTGGCACGCTGTGACGTCACATGATATTTCAAATCAATATATCGTCGAAAGTATATAATTTTGTGAGAAAAGAAAAAATACGTGTCTACAGTTTTAAATTAATCTATCAGACGGACATTAAAATAAAATTTAGGAAACTATCCTATTACAATATACTTGCATCTTACACGTAATGTTATTGCCAGCTGCTATGCAGTTAATCAGAATTCAAACATAATTACCGAGCAAGGGGTCTCCTGTCCCTGTTTCATCCTCAGACAGTCTCATTGCACACGCACTTTTATACGTACATACATAACCTCACGCTTGTCTCCCATGGGAGTAGGCAGAGACTATGGAACGCCAATTGCTACGATTCTTACATACCTCTTTCGCTTCATCAACAGTCATTAGTCTTTTCATCCATGCTCGTCCGTTGAGGGTACTTTTAATTTGGCCCTTCTTTAATATATCGCCAATCTGGTCAGTATATGTCCGTCTAGGGTGTCCTTTACCGGCGGTTTCATTCATATCCGCTCTGTATACTTCTTTCGTTAATCTACTTTTATCCATCCTTTCTAAATGCCCAAACCAGCGTAACATTCCCTTTTCAATCCTTGTCACTACATCATCTTTCAATCCACAACTTTCTCTAATAATACTATTTTTTACTCATTCGCTCAAATTCAATCCATGTATGTACACACGGCCACACATCACATCAATCTATACAAAACCAGTTTATCCTGGTGTCGCGTCGCATCATCTTTCCGCACATTTAACGTTCAGTTTATACTGGTTATGTAAAGCTCGATGTGTAGCAGTGTGTACTTTTATTAAACTTCTGCTTAAAAGAGGTAAAGATGGTGATATGAATATGTGATAGTTAAGATGATAAGCTCATTAATCAGCCTTTAAAAGATCATTTCCGAATGTTCCAGATCACTTCCACTTAATGACGTGGCGACATCTCGCGGCCACGACCGAACACCGACTGATCGTCACCGAGGCTTCCCAGAGAGAGATAGAGAAGGTTCCAGAGAACATCGGCGTGAGCGAGACAGGGATAGGGAACGGGAGAGAGATCCTTTTGATTTTGATGGTGAGTAGTGTCTTCTTTGTTACATGGGACTTATAGGATCTAGCTAGATCTAGTTTGTGCCAGCGGTAACGCTAGTCATGGTCCCGTGGGCAGAAAATTTGCCTTTTTTTAAGGGGGGAAAATCATCGAATGTCTTCTGCCGTCTGGGTGAGGCGGGAGGGAGTGTCAGTCTCTTTCAGTAAGAGACTGACACTCCCTCCCGCTCGGCTATTTTCAGCCGTTAATTAGTCAGCTAAAAACCACCCCGTTCCTACTCCTGCACTTCGAGGCGGAGCCCCGGTAACCCGTTAGGTTCTCCGTGGCCCGTTAGGTTGTGTTATTCCAGATCATAATCTTCCTCAGTTCCAAAGACTGCAAGCCCTTCAGCAATACGGTATTTGACAACTAGTCACAGGCTTACAGGAGTTGCGGCGGTTTTGGGAGGACGTGGCGGGCTTGTCCCATTAAAAAAAAAACTTTTTCAAACTGTCGAAAACGCTTACAAAAACGACAGTTTTTTATAAATGACAATGACCAAATTTGTATGGAGCGTGGTGCCTTTTCATTTTTTCGCGGCAGTTGATCGGATGTAGAAAAATAGATGCAGAATAACATTACAAATAAAAAAATGTATGGGGTCTTATATCAAAAACACAGTCCAAACCGAGTTAAATCAGTTCAAAGATGTGAAAATAGTGCTATATAATCCCTTTGATTTTGTTGATGGTGACCGTACACATCGCATATTTCTTCATTTACTTGTCAGAAATATTTTGTAATAAATGTTTATAGACGATTTTAAGGAATATAATAAATCTTATTGTGGACTTTTATCATAATTTTTTTTTGTTTATTTCTTTTTTTTTTTTTTTTGGTATAAGGCCACGGATTCAGAACAGAGTGAACCATTAACTGACCATTGCTGTAGAAAAAAAAACATTTCGTTTGATTGACTAGCGTGTTCAATTTATATGTATACAGTTTATGGCCTATGACAGATTTTCATGATCAATTTCCTCTCAGTCAAAAACCCGCAAAATACTTTATTGAGCCCTATCATGAAATGCTATGTTTGTCAGCTGCGGCGTCGGTAGCGGATTGAGTAGTAACAGTCATCAATACACGAAAAAATCATTTTTATGTCTACTTCTCCTGACTTACTTCCGATTAGTAACTAATCTAACTACAGTTAATACTTTAATCTACATCTAGCATAAGATTCTGTACAAAGACATCGTCATTCAGTCACAAAGTGATGCATTTCGAATGATCACATTATATGAAAAAATTATGCGCTCATCTGACGTATAGTCCATCACTTTACAAAGTCGACGGTTTGCTTTCTTCAAAAAATTATGCTGACTATAAAGTAGATGAGTCTCCCACCAGGAGTCAACGGCAAAAAAATACTTTATTAGATGCTTGGACGGCTACTACTACTCAACCCACCAATGGTATCACAGCTGACACTCATGAAGCTTCATGACACAACTCCTAGAAGCATCCCACAAGTTATCGACTAAGAGAAAATAGCTAATAAAAATTATCGACTGGCAATATGGATATATTGTGGTGTGATTTGGTGTTTCTGTGCCCGGCGTACAGTGGCGCGCAATTTGAAGTTAGGAATTGTGACAAAAATATGAATAATTTGAATAAAACAACAAAAGTAAAATGTTTGATTCCAGCTCCTTTCAACGCTCATAACTCAGTCCAGACTGAGATTTCCATATATGAGCCCATAGACAATTTCATTTGTAATGACATTCTAGATAATATTTTCCATAAATCATCGACTGCCGCCAGAAAAAAGAAAGGCACCAATTTTAGTCAATGCCCTTTGTACGAGATTGTGAATTGTAACAACTCTTTGTGATCCACAGATTGTTGTTCCGGGTCTGGGTGTCTGTGACATTGTATGTTTGTAAACGCATCCTTAAGGAGAAAATCCAATTCTACTTCATCATCATTACCGTTCAGTCGTGTCCGTCTGCTATCATAATGTCTCCTATAGCACGACTTGCGCAGACATCTTCGACATCTTACCACAAAATATCACTGCATTTTCTACCAACCCCTTAAGGGAATACAAGTCCTTAATACAATCAATGCATCATAGTAATGTTGTTAGCAACTTTCCTAAAGTTCTGAATCGTAATAGATGCGCTCTCGGTCCCTAGGGGGACTCATATTGAGTTAAGAGTTAGTAGCTTTGCTTCGTGAGGGGGCTTTTGATTTTGTTATTCTGTTTTTCAGCATCTTTTCTTATATATTCTATTACAATTGATATTCTTTTGGCGGTAATTATCATATCCTACGTTTTGGGATGTCGTTTAAAAAAATGCCGTGTATTTTATTCTCTGAAGTATTAGGAGCACCAGTTTTAACTTATTTATGAGTCTGAATGAGTAGTATTTTATAGAATTTGCAAGTACAATAAAGTTGACCAACTTTGTTGCACTAACGTTAAGTCGGAATCACCATCATCATCAGCCTGTATTCGTCGATTGCTGGACATAGACCTCTCTAATGACACGCCACTGAGCTCGATCTTTAGCTCTTCTCATCCAACCACTGCCAGCCACTTTGCGGATGCCTTATATTACGTTTGCCTAGAAGCGGTCTCCACTCTTGAAAACGTTTACCGCAACGGTTATCGGTTCTCCGACAAATGTGACCGGCCCACAGCCACTTCAGCTTCACTAATCCTTTGGGCTATGCCGATAACTTTGGTTCTCTGTCGGATTACTTCGTTTCGGATTCGATCCTTCAAAGAGACTCCGAGCCAAATCGGAATACTCATACATATTTTTTCGAATTTAAGATTTTCATTCATTCTGCTGGCTGCTGTCCTTGCAGCAACAGCTGGTCTGTTTGCTTAGTTACCTATCTAGGAAAAAAAGGTTTCAGTACTAATAGAAAAGGAGGAATACGCTCTTCCTTTTTACAAGGCTGGCAACGCACCTGTGACTCTTTTAGTGTTACGGGTGTCCATGGGCGGCGCTGATGATGTTTTCATTCACTGATTGTCAGTGATGTCTAGATAATCTTAGAAGTACATATAACTTGGAAAATGTCATATTGGTACTTGCCGTTGGTAAGTTTCGAACCCATGCATGCATGAGGGTGGATGCATGAGAAGAGAGCGTCTTAAACCCCTGCCATCACGACCACCGAAAATATAGGTATACTTAATTTAATCTTATTATTTATCACCCCCAAAATGGCATTTCGCTCAAAAACGAACATGTAACAAAATTAAATGAACAACAACCATTCCGTCGGGAACGAAGTTAGGTTAAATTACAGAGCTCTAAGCTATCGTGGTTAGCTGAATCTTTAATCGTTTAGCCCAATTACTGGCCTAAACTCCGCCTGGATTCCGACTGTGGCGTCTAGATTGATGTAGGTAGGTATTATTGGATGGTTTGTTTGATCTGAACTTCTACTTTTGGTAATGTAGTTAGGAAACCAGAGGCCTTTAGTACGAGTTTGGTTTACGTTTAAAAGTAATCGTAACGAGTACGCGTTCGGTGCTCTGATTGGTTGGTTCATTGGCGCCGGCCAATCAGAGCGCCGAATGCGTACTCGTTACGAATACTTTAAACGTAAATGAAACTCGTACGAAGGCCTCAGTAATTATAAAACCGACTTCAAAGAAAGAAGGAGGTTGTCAGTAGTTTGACCTGTATGTATGTTTGCGCGATTATCTCACGATTGGGTGAACCGATACCGATGCGGTTTTCAGTAAAGTGTTTGTTACACCTAGGAGAAGGTTTTGGTATATTAATTAGCCGACCTCAAAGAAAAAGGGGGTTGTAGTCGGGTTTTTAAATGAAATATTTATTCGGGTTCGATTCCCGGGTCGGGCAAAGTATTACTGGGTTTTTAAAAAATTCTCAGTAGTAGCACGGAGTCTGGAACTGTGCCCGGTATATGGCAATAGGCTAACCCCCTATTACATGGGACTCATAACATAAATAGTGAAAAGTGGGTGTTACATTGTACAGTGATATAATGTGCACCTCTGCCTACCCCTTCGAGGATAAAAGGCGTTATGTTATGTTATATTTATTTTGATTTAATTATTATTATGTCTATGGATAAATTCTTGCAGTAATACTATTTTTGCTATCCGAAGGAGTAGATGTTAATGTGTGCTTATAGCCACTATGTTCAGATGTCCCACCCACAGTCCCACATGCACGAAGCACATGCTAAGGAGTGGAATTCTTTGCCAGAGTCTTTCTGAACGGTGTATGTGTGCCTGGGTGTCTTCAAGGCCCGAGTGAGGTTTGTGGGTCGACGTGCTCCATCGTAGACCGCATCATCACTTACCACCGGCGAGATAGTGGTCAAACGTCGGCCCTTCAAATATAAAAAAGCTCATTATAATACTTAAAAATACTTTTCCTTAATTTCAGGAACACCCCTCAGTCCCATAGCATCGAGGGCCCACGAGAAAGACTCCCGACCAGTCCGCAAGTCCTCATCAGCGCACCGTGTGACTGAGACCAGCATATCCACGGACAAGAGGAGGTTCTTCTGCAGGGAGTGGGCATTCCAGAAGATTGCTCATTGTTTGGAACAGCGACCAGTTAGCAAGACCTGTGGGGCACTTATTTTGGGTGAGTTTTGGGTGTCTGGTGGTATTGGTTGGAATAGGATTTTTGGAGAAGTACTAACGACTCTATAACAGTCATCATTTATGCGTTCTTATTTGACTATGAAGTGTTTCTCGACTTCGAAGAGGCTAACTACGTAATGTCTTTTTTGATAATAGGGTAGTTGCCAGGGTATGAAAATTAGACTAATTAGTCTGTCAGTTAGGTAATGAAAGAAATATTAGACACAGTTTTTTTAAATTTGCATTAAGTTTAGATGTGGAAGGTCATTTCAATTTCACACGATATTTCAAATTAATATATCGTCGAAAGTATTAAATTTTGTGAGAAAAGAAGGCATACACGCCCAATGTTTTAATTAATCTAAAATGAAATTTAAGGAACTACCCTATTCTGTATGTACCTTTTTTTTAATCTCATTTATTTTAAGGGATTTTTGTACACATTGTGACGATGTCAATCCCATCGTGCTTAAAGCAAAGGTTCTTAAGGTACACTGTATGTACCTTAAGAACCTTTCTATCAAGTCTGCTTTTTGATCATCTTACCTGTTAGATAATTATCATCGTGAGAGTGAGGAATCGCTTGTATTTTGTGTGACCACTTGTGTCCTGTAATATCTCTACCAAGAGATAGATCTAGTTCCATCTAAGTTTAATACCATCTATTCCTCCCCAGGTGACGCGGGCAGTGGTAAGACCGCTCTATGTCAGGAGCTGAGTGAACCAGGCCAGGGCCCGCAGGCGAGGCAGCAACGCGCGCTTAACCGGAGGCTGCTAGCTAGGCACTTTCTACAGGTAGGTTCTTTGTGATCCCAAGAATGAGGGTTAACCATTTCGTGATTACCAGTTAGCATTAAACTGTCAAACACCAAGCGGTCACCGGTGACCGCGACCTATTGTTCTTTAATTGTGTCTATAAAACCGGTACTCGACGAGTTAATAATAATTCTTGTGACGGCGAGCATGGGTAGCTCGCCGCACGATCAGAACCAGACCCGTGCCTATAGCGCCGAGCGTTCCGCGCGTGCCTCAATGACCAATCAGATCACCACAGATGGGGCCCAATAGGGCTGATGTCGATACGGTGAACTTAACGGGTTGCCGGGGCTCCGGCTTGACGTGGAAGAGTAGTAAGAAGGTAGTTTTTAGTCAGTAAGAGTTTGACACTCCCTCTCGCCTCACCCGAGCGGGAGAACATAGAGAAACAATACCCTTCCTTCAGTCGGGTAAAAATATAAGGCCATGAGTCGCGGAGAACCTAACGGGTTACCGGGGCTCCGGCTCGAAGCGCAAGAAAAGGAACGGGGTGTTTTTAGTCAGTAAGAGTCTGACACTCCCTCCCGCCTCACCCAGGCGGGAGCAGTCATTCGATGATTTTCTCTCCTTAAAAAAGCCGTTTTCAATAATCGTCACATACTTAGAATTTTTCTTTTACTTTTTCAGAGTCACACAGAAAGCAGCCTACGTCCCGGCGAGTTTGTCCGCTCGTTAGCCATGCAGATACTAAGTCATTCCTCTCGGAGACCAAGAGCTGATAACTCGGACCTGTCCCCAAGAGACCCTGATACTCCACACAGTCACAGGTACGATTACCAACCCGTCTGCCTGTCGCGGAGAACCTAACGGGTAACCGGGGCTCCGGCTCGACGTGCAGGAGAAGGAACGGGGTGGTTTTTAGTCAGTAAGAGTAGACACTAAGGCGGGAGCAGTCATTCGATGATTTTCCCCCCTTAAAAAAACCCGTCTGCCTAGTGTGAAGATTAGGATAAAAACTTTTATGTAGAGACTTATATTCCAGTATGTAGTTGAAGTCACGGCACGGCCTATTTATTTAATACGTCCTTGTTGACTGGACATCTACACTACATGAGCTGCTGTTTACATGTGAACATTAGCTCATGACGATACCTAAGTACGTGTGTCGCCTGGACAGTCAACCTCGCTACATCCTTGTTGGACAATAGACAATCTTTTCAATACATGAGCAGTTTATTTATTTGTTTGTTTGTTTGTTTTCAGACGTAATTCTGAAGAGGAGCGTTTGATCAGTCGGTTCCGTGAGCTCGGGGATGATGGTGAGGAGAGCTCCAAGCCGTTGCTGGCTGATAGTGAAGGTATGTACTTGGTAGAGAAGTTACGACCTTAAGAACGTTAGTATACGTCGTTTTATGCCGGAATACTGAATCGTTATTCAATTTTAAGTCGTGCTTAAATATCGTGCTGTCTCTGTCATTTTACAAAGAATTTGTAGAGACAAAACTATACTTAAGCACGACTTAAAATTGAATAACGATTCAGTATTCCGGCATTAGTATATTAATTAACCATCGACTTCAAAATAAGTGTGGGTTGAAGTCTGTTATGTTAAATGTAGTTTCATTTGTCGTAGATTCGGACGTCTAGATGCACTTCAGACCGTTTAAGCTTATAGTGTAAATCGAAATGAAATGACTGCCTCGTTGGCCGAGTGGTCGCAAGTTCGACTGCCGGGCAATGGGTCTCGGGTTCGATTCCCGAGTCGGGCAAAATATTACTGGGTTTTAAAAAATTCTCAGTAGTAGCACGGAGTCTGGAATTGTGTCCGGTATATGGCAATAGGCTTCCTATTTCATGGGACTCATAACATGAATAGTAAAAAGTCAGTGTTACATTGTACAGTGGCATAATGTGCACCTCTGCCTACCTAAGTGTCATCGAAATGATATAATTTATATTTATTGTATCGACAGACCAGCGCACGGACGAGGAGGACGGTGGCTGCAGTAGCCGGCCGCGCGGTGCCCGCAGCCCGGCCGCGGCCCGCAGCCCGCCCGCGGGGGTACTCAACACTGACATCTCTGACACACACGCCGACGCACCGCTCAGTGCTCTTGATGACGTGAGTCGTACTAATCTTAGAATCAATCATACAGAAATGGATGATTGACTGGAAGTCATCCTTACTAATCCTTATCCTTACTAATATTATAAATCGGAAAGTGAGTTTCTTTGTTTGTTTGTTCCGCTTTCACGCCGTAACTACTAAATCGATTGATTTGAATTTTTACAGACGTAAACTTAGAAGTCCGGATTAAATAATAGGGTACTTTATCCCGGAAAAATGAGATATTCCCGAAGGAAAACAAAAGTATTGGTATAGATGGCGCTGTGTGTATTAGTATATGTCACATAGGCTACTTTTTATCCTTTTGTGACGCAAGCGAAGCCGCGGGTAAAAGCTAGTAGTTACAATAAACAGGAGAAAAATAAAAACAGAAAACAAGGAGAAAATTGCGCAGTGAGTCCTTATCCTTCATGACTCTGAGTACCCGTTAGCAATACACAAGTGTAAATATTACTCAAACACGCATTTATCTTAACAAATAATCACTACATAGTATAAAACACAATCGCTATCAGCCGTCTGTCTATCCCTATACTCTATGTATGCTTAGATCTTTTAAATGAAAACTACAGATTTTTTAAATGATAGAGTGATTCGCACCCATGCGAAGCTGGGGTGGGTCGCTAATGAAATGATATACGAATACTAAAACGCAATTCAGCTATAAAACACTCTATATTTGTGTCCCTACAAAATTCGGTGCTTTATAAAATTACAAAATAGCATGGTATTTAAGTTCAACTAAAAACTGTATAACGTATTTGTATTTAATCCGGAGACCCCGTTGCTTATTAAATGTTTAGCCAGTAAGAGACTGACACTTCCTCTCGCCTCATCCAAGGCAGAAGTCATTAGACGATTTGCCCCCTTAAAAAAGGGGTAAGCCATTGGGGTACTTGCCAACTAGTCAAATTCAATACTTTTTTTCGAACTGTCAAAAACGACAGTTTTCTATGAATTTTGTACGAGGTTGTGTATCGTGACGTTACATTTTTTAAGCGTAAAACAGCATACAAATTTCTTAAAATTAAGTTGTATAACTAGCTTGGGTTGCAGATGCGTGGGTTAGGTATTGGCGCGAAACGGAGATGAAAGAAAACCAACGAACTTTATAATAATTATGAGTCTGTGTATTGGCGTCAGGATATTATAGATTACACTTAACATGCTATACAGTACTAGGACATAAAATACTAGAAACAAGAACACGATAACGGGAGCGAGCGAGAGCCGCGGTAGACGAAAGAAATGCATGTGTTCCGCACTGCGGCGTCCGCGCGACTGTCCGAGTTCGCGCGCCTACGTGCCCGGCGGCCGGCCCGGTGCTCAGCGGAGCTCTGCGCGCGCAACGGCTTTTAACCGTGCGGCCGCGCACGTATATTGTATTCACTCCTTTAACCCACCTAACGAACGCGCGCTACAGTTGTTCATAAAATCAATTAATGAAATTATGATTATTTTTTAATATTCTATTGTATTGAACAGTCGAAATTATTTATTTTTTAATAAGGAAAGTACCCAATTTACTAATGTAATCTATTACTTTATCGACAGTTGCCAGAAATCTTGCCAAGATCGTCAGTGAAACCGACAAATCCATTTGTCACAGAAGACAAAGATGATCTACGTCTATACGAAAACCACGAGAATCTATTCCTTCGCAATATATCGCAACGCCAATCAAAAGAATTGAGGAATTCGAGACTTTTGCGGCAGTCTTCTGAGCCTCTATCGGAGAAGAAGACCAGTCTACTGCAGAAGAGTCTGTCTACTGAACAGAAGAATGATAGTTCTGGTGAAGATCGGAAGGTGGAGAATAGCCCGCCTAAGTCTAGGATACCTGTCGCTAATTTTAGGTATGTTTTTTGGCTTACAAATTTCTAGTAATCGTTTTTTTTGTGTTTTATTTGCACTTACTTGCATAACTAAACTATTCGAGATTGTCCGAATAGTTTCTAGCCACTATAGGGGCTCATGTTTTTTTAAATTTTCGTTATATGATTAAGCTATTAATAATGGTATTTTTTTTATAAAAACTTTGCCCCACATTAAGATTTTCTCCTGTGTCGTGGGTGCGTTTACAAACGTACAAGTTCACATACACATGACACCCAGACCCGAAACTACAATCTGTGAATCACACAAAGTGTTGTTCCGTGCGGGAATCGAACCCGCGACTTTTATTTGTGTTATTATACGCAATACTGTTATTTGTAGTTATTATACGCAAAAAGTATTTGATTTTATAAGTAAGTGGAAAGGTTGAAATTAAATTAAATTTGTAAGTAAAAAAAAATAATCATTGAACATTAAACCTAAGTATGACTCATCGTTAGTTGAAGCGACGTAAACTTTCAAGGATACTCGACTACTTTCGAACAAAACCGAAGCCCAAAAATACAACACAGACGTAACACGTAACATCACAAAATAAAAAAAAGAATAATCAATGTCAAACACAATACACCCTACAACAATTATTATAAAATACACACCCCTTCACATTTACAGGTACCCTAACAAAAGTGATCTTCGATCTGCTGAAAATTCCCCCTCAAAGAAGCCCGAAAGACCGTCGACACCCAAAGAAGAGTTGCCGGAATACCAGAATGTTTTGAAGCCAGAAGTAGAAGTACAGGAGAGTGAGAAGAAGAGAGAAGATGTGCCCCCTCCTATTCCTAGTCTACCTATAAGTCCTAGGACGTTGATCGCGAACGCTTATTATGATAAGTTGCTGGCTGAGCCTGAAATTCAGCAGGTAAGCGTTTAAGAGTTGAGTGGGTCAAAAAGTCAAAATCATTTATTTCAATTAGACCAGGAAGGCACTTTTGAACGTCAAAACAAAATATTGAAATATTAAATAATAAGAAAAAATGTCAGTTTGTAGGTCAGTCCTCTAGTGAAGCTATTTGCTCGTTCCAAAGTGTAGATTCCTATGGAGAAGAACGAGCAAGAAACTCCATAGGTTACTCTTGAAAAAAGTAACCTATGGAGTTTCATGATTGAAAAATCATGTGCACAATACAATTTTTGGTTACATTCTTTCGTTGAGTTCAATAATGTGAGAACAATGTAATACCAATATTTGATCAAGGAGACGGAGCCCGGTTTCGAATTCGGTTTTAGAGTCAAATTAAACAGTGAATGTTTAATTTATGAAATCAATTATTCAGGTCCTTTTCTTAATATGGTGAGACACATTTACACGACTTTTTTGATAGAGTTCGAAATTCTTTAATTGAATACGGAAATACTCAGTTGTGTTTATCATGAATAAATAAGATATGCAAATGAAGTCTTTTGGCGAAAGACCTTTAAGCGATTTTCAATCAATAGATAATTTTTATCTATAAAATAAAATTGACATAATTAACAGTTTTCAGTGTGAGAGAATTGCCAAAAATTTAAAATTATTTGTCCGATATAATTTGTCTTGGTTGGAAACATTGACTCTAACAGAACTTATCATTAATTACAATAATTACATAACATGAATAGTGAAAAGTGGGTGTTACATAGTACAGTGGCATTAAGTGCCGTAATGTGCACCTCCGCCTACCCCTTCAGGGATAAAAGGCGTGATGTTATGTATGTGTGTCGTGAATTTTTCGTGACGCTCGCCAACTCCCCTTAACTAGCGTACACCGTGATAAGGAACTTTGTTCCAAAAAACAATATTGCTTTCCCTGTCGCCTTGCCTGAAGAAAGTGGATGTTATACCTTCGTAGAATTTTAACCTATTTTTCTATTTATATCATTCCAGGCACTATTACCTCAAAATTTGGAGAAGAATCCTGATGAATGCTTCAAGAAGGCTCTCCTCTTCCCACTGCTGGAGATAGATCCTCCCAAGCAGTGCCTCTTCTTATTAGTCGACGCTATCGATGAAGGCATTACTGGGGGTAAGTGAATTACACGCTTTATTTATTAACCGTTCCCGTGGTATAATAAGCCTATGTGTAATTCTAGTACATAATTTACTTCTGTCTCAAATGTCATCCCGATCCCTTCAGCCGTTATGACGTGATTGAGTAACATATACAAGGTGTAGTCTTGAAGCCGTATCATTTCTCGGGGGCATGTCACAGAAGTCATATGGGTTCAATGTAAGAGAAAATTTCGGGCCAATAGTTAAAAATACGGCTACAATAAATCGTTTAAGTTGGACAGTATTTCAGAATAAGCGACAGCAATGCTTCTTATTGTAGTTTTATGGAATTAGGAATAATATCAATTACGTGTTTGAGTTTGTGTGTGTTATGCCGCGTTATAAAGCTAGTTACAAGACGGCGGCGTGTTAGTTCACACTTACGGATTTGCGTAATTTACAGAATTAAATTTACCTACCATTTTTTTTATTGATTTGGACTCGAATCGATAGCCGAGTTACCTCCTAGAAAATGACGCGGCTTTAAAACAACACCTTGTATAATAAACATACACACAAACATAACAAACTCGCACACTTTTGCAGTTATAATTACTAGCTTTTACCCGTGGCATCGCTCGCGTCACAAAAGGATAAAAGTAGCCTATGTGACACATACCGATATACACAGCGCCATCTATACCAATAGTTTTGTTTTCTCTCGGGAATATCGGGAATTCAATTTTGTTTTTCCGGGATAAAAAGTACCCTATTATTTAATTAGGACTTCTAACTTTACGTCTGCAAAAATTCAAAGCAATCGGTTAAGTAGTTACGGCGTGAAAGCGGAACAAACAAACAAACAAACTCACTTTCCGATTTATAATATTAAGTAAGGATAGTAAGTGTTGTGTATCTGTGGTATAGTCTATGGACATGGTACAGTCTATGGTGATAGTTTACCTGTGGTGCGTGACTGAACCCGCGAATTTGCAAAAACCATAAGACGCAATAAAACAGTGTGTCAATAGTGCCTTCACTCGTTTGAATTGGGATGATGACAGGGTATGAAAATTAAAAATCTAATTAGTCTGTCAGTTAGGTAATGAAAAAATATTAGACACGTATTTTTGCATTTTGTCGTATAATAAAATGATACTTAAATATAACGAATCAAAGTTTAGGAGTGGGGGTTAAAACGTCATTTCTACGTATAAAATGTACATAGAAGTGACGTCACGCGACATTTCAAATCAACATATCGTCGAAAGTTATTCGTTTCTGTAAGAAAATAAACAATACGTGTCTAATGTTTTTAAATAATCTACCAGACGAACATTAAAATGAAAATGTGTCATCTACCCTATTGTATTTCGTTCCCGTATAACATATTTATAAGCGAAACACGTGAATGTAGCAAACAGACTAAACTTTATTCCATCTTTTCAAATATATATAGACAATTATATTTTTTAATCCTTACTTCCTTACTTATATTATAAATCGGAAAGTGTGTTTGTTTGTTTGTTCCACTTTAACGCCGTAACTACTAAACCGATTGCTTTGAAATTTTGCAGACGTAAAGTTAGAAGTCCGGATTAAATAATAGGGTACTTTTTATCCCTGAAAAATTTGATATTCCCGAGGGAAAACAAAAGTATTGGTATAGATGGCGCTGTGTGTATTGGTATATGTCATATTGGCTTTTTATCCTTTTGTGACGCAAGCGAAGCCGCGGATAAAAGCTAGTATACCATAAACAAACAAAGTAAGTCTCTACGTTTCAATAGAGATGGAGTTATGTTTCTGCCACCGACAGAGGGTGCAAATGAAAACTATAATCATTAAACTAAGTTTATTATAATTAAAATTACATGGTAACTCCTAAAATCTAACTAACCTAAGAGCGAATGCGTTCGATGTTAGAACAACACTGCTTTCTTATCTTAAAATTCTTTAGTATAAAATTAGTATGAAGGTTTTATTGAGGTTAAATCTAGTGGGGTGAACGATGATGTAGCAATTCGTAGCTGGGCACAAGGCGACGACAAGAGGAGACGATTCAGCAGTTCGAATCTTGCAATACTCTGTAGAACCTTCGTTGCATCAAAGTAGGTGTAATGTACTGATTCAGCAGATCTGGGCCTGGTGACACGGCGTTGATCACGGTGTAGGTACATGTGTCGGCACCGATACGTAACAATGGTATAACATGTAGCAGAACACAAACAAATACTTTTATTATTTTGATACATCATTACAACAATATTTAACTCTGTCCCAGGTATGTGCGAGGAAGGTTCGAGCTCGGAAGGCTCCTCGTCGGTGGCCCGCCTCCTGGCGCGGCACCAGCACCTGTTCCCGCACTGGCTGCTGCTGGTCTGCACGGCCAGGAAGCACTGCAGGAACCTCACCAGGATGTTCACTGGTACACACATACTTTAATTCAACTGTCAAACACCGTGAGGACACCGGTGACCGCAACCTATTGTTCTTTAATTGTGGCTATAATGACGGTACTCAAAAGGTCAATATTTTTCGGCTTACTCACGTAATTATTCGACAAGAAACTTTTTAATTTTTTATTGACGTTCATCAAGATCAAGTGCCTTCCTGGTCTAATAGAAATAAATGAAATTTTGACTATGACTTTGACAGGGTTCCGTAAAATAACATTGGACGAGCTCCAACGTGCACATGTATCGGCCGACGTGCAGCGTTACGTACTGGCACGTCTGGACACCGAACCCCGACTCAGGTAAGACAGCATTACATTATTACAACTAACAGATAATGAGGACTATCGTTTTGCACTCACTAAATGGCGCTTGTGAAATATAAGGTCTAAGCTCTACTAGTTTCGAGTCACGGAGGGGCTCTTGACAGGTTGGTGACATCACCGCGACCGCGCACGCTGGTCATGAGGAAGAGCCCCTCTGTGTCTCGAAACTAGTAGAGCCTTTCTCAATAAATTCACGTGGTAACCCTCGATTTTTAGTTAATTTACTATATCTCACGATAGTTATTATAAAAACTATTCAGTTTGTTTTTTATTATAGTGTGAAGACTTGTCATTGGTTGTCAGATTCACACTCAATTTCTTTTTCTTTGTTTTATTAGTCTTGTAAAGTTGTTAAATAAATAAATAAAAAATATATTAATAAATACTTATTTAACATTCAATAATTTTTTCTTTCCCCCAGAGCTCGAGTATCGAGTGACTCCACTGCGGCGGCGGCGGCCGCGGCCGCATTAGACCATCTTCGTATCAAGAGTGATGGCTGTCTACTGTACTTGGAGAAGGTAAACACATTCATATACAATGTCGCGGAGAACCTAACGGGTAACCGGGGCTCCGGCTCGACGTGCTGGAGAAGAAACGGGGTGGTTTTTAGTCAGTAAGAGTCTGACACTCCCTCCCGCCTCACCCAGGCGGGAGCAGTCATTCGATGATTTTGCCGCCATAAAAATATATACAATGGGGCCTGGTGTATTTTTGATCATCAGGTAGCGCTTCTGTGACCTTCTCGTTCTTCGTCCAATAGATAATTAGGTACCATCACAACAATGAAAGAAAGAAAGCAATAAAGAAAAATGTTTATTCGGCACATTGCACGCACATTGTAGATGAAAATGAAAAAATAATATATAAATAAAAAAATTAAATAAAAAAAATATACACAGCACAAAATTAACAAAAATAGATGCATCATACCCATGCCGAACGTGCCTCCACCTCAGCGTTATGTTGAGCGTGGTAACAATCCACGCTGGTGTTCCTGCTACCCTGATCCCCCCGCCCCCCCCAAAACGTCCACAACATGTCATGTCATTTTATTTTCGACTTTATGTACAGAACAAGAAAGTTATAAATCCATTACATAGTTTGATGGGCTATATATTTATTGAGTTTAAAAACAGTACATCGTCATACCAACATGTTCTTTTCATGATTGCAGGTGCTAGACGGTGTAGCAGACGGGTTCATAGCTCTACGCGAGATCAGAGAGATCCCCGGCACTCTGAACGGACTCTATCTATGGCTCGCTCAGCGACTCTTTCATGGGAGACGGTTCACCAAGGTAACATTATAAATATCATTTAGTATTAATCTTTACTAATTTATGTAAAGCTGAAGAAACTGAGATGGGAGACAAAGGACAGGGATAGGAGACAGAGGACGGGGATAGGAGATAGATGATGGGGATAGGAGACAGAGGATGGGGACAGGAGACAGAGGATGGGGATAGGAGACAGAGGACGGGGATAGGAGACAGAGGACGGGGATAGGAGACAGAGGATGGGGTTTTTTTTTTAAGGGGTGAAAAGAGGATGGGTATAGGAGACAGAGGGTGGGAATAGGAGACAGAGGATGGGAATAGGAGACAGAAGATAGGAGGCAGGGGACGGGGATAGGAGACAGAGGACGGGGATAGGAGGCAGAGGACTGGAATAGGGGGCAGAGGACGGGGATAGGACACAGAGGATGGGGATAGGAGACGGGGGACGGGGATGGGAGACAGAGGATGGGGATAGGAGTCGGGGGACGGGGATGGGAGACAGAGGATGGGGATACGAGACAGAGGACGGGGATAGGAGACAGAGGACGGGGATAGGAGGCAGAGGACGGGGATGGGAGACAGGCTTAGGGATGAGGGGGTAATAATTTAATGAACCCAAATGTTCACAATATTTATTCGTCTCTTTAGGTTCGTCTCCTCCTGGACGTGTTGCTGGCGGCCAGGTGCGGAGTGTCGGAGGAGATGCTGTACAGGTGTCTGCTCACCAAGGAGTACTCCGTCACCAGGGAGGACTTCAACCGACGATTGCATCTACTCAGGCGGTCAGTATACTCGGTTCAGGAATCGAAACACATTGAACCAAAAAAAAAATCCATGATATCACCATCTAATGAGCGCTAAAATATCAGCTCTCATTGGCTTAGCTCATTTTAATCATGTTATTAGGATTAGGACTTGCAAAAATGGGTGTTGATATCTAAAAATGTTACTTTGAATCTTATATGCGAGAAAAGTCATTATAATTAGTCATAAATCCTTTAATTTTTCAAATGTGAGAAACGGTACACAAAGCACCGCTAATTAGTTGCAGCGCTACACATCGACACAACTGTCATTTACACAGTGTACATGTGTGCGTAATTTCATATAACTGTATATAAAAATATTCGTCCACCACGTTCACATTGGTATTTTCATTCTTGTGTCGGTATACGTATTTTTATAATTTAATGCATAGGTAAGGTTAAAACTATTTACAATCATTGATATGACCCGACATTTTCACTGTCATTATCGTAGTGCTCGTGGTCGATTGGTTAATGAGCACGCTTTTAACGTCTTTCAAGGATCAATGATGTGGGTTCTATTCCAGCTAAAAGTTAATTTTATTTTACCTTGTTATTTTTCTTATTTTTTTTTTTGTTTTTTGTCATAAAATATAAATATCAGGCTATAAAAGAAGCAAATGAATTGGTAAATAAAACAATACTATTTTTTATTACAATTAATTTATTTATTATACAAATATGTTGTTTTATATTCAATATTTATATCTAATAATTAATTATATACCACATGTTAAGTTTAAAGTTCTTTAAATCATAATTAATAGATATGACAATAAACCTCATAGTCGAATCGGGAAATATCATGCGGTATAGCGGTAATACGATGGCAGCAACATTTTTTATTAAGTAATAACAACATTCTTGTTTTGTAATTTAATAATATAATGTATTATTAAATTACAGTTTTACAGTAATAAACAAGTAAAACATGTAAAAAATTACACTTTCAACATAATATTTCTTGAAATGGGCGACTTTTTGTCGTTTGAACTTCCATTAATTATCTATTTTACGACGGTTGTTATAAGGTTCAATATTCAGTGGGCTGTATGATAGTAAAAAGAATGTGACGAATGCTATGGAACGATTTTAACTTTCATGACCTTTAGAATCAGGGAAACTTTAAATTAATTGAAGATGGGCGTAAATATAATATGTCAATCAAGTTCGAAAGCAGTTAAATAAATTTGTTAATGAAAAATTAAAGTGAAGTGAATAAACATGTTGAATAGAAAGAAATTATGACAATTTCTAACCACAAAACAATAACATCACTTCACCGTATGTTCTAGACAGCATTTTAATATTCTTAAAAAAATTAAACATTATTTTATGTTAATTTTAATAAAGGCAGAGTTTGACAGGCTCAATAATTGATTCCGAAATCAATACAATCACTGATCCTACAAGGCAGAAGGTTGCAATTCGTATACCTTTCTCCATCTTTTCTTCACAATATTTTACGCCCATCCTTATCCGACTTGAAAGTCTTTTCGTCGTCAATATGATTACACTGTTCGCCCAATCAAAATTAATAAAGTCCTTAGCAAATTCTTAGCGCTTTTGCTGGTGAACCACAGATAACAATATTTTCTTCTCTGGCTTCCTGCACCTTAAACCAGAATGCAGGTGTCTCCGTACAGTTTGTATTAAAAACATTCAGTGCTGTCGCTGTAGTGCGGGTTGGCAGGAACGGATCAGCCATGTGCCTGGCTACGATGTCGTAGTGCCGAGCCGATGAATTTGCCTTTGGTTTAGGCCACGTCGACGATGTTTAACGTCCGGTCTCCGCATATCTGTGCACCCATAACTGCATGGATCTCTCTGTTGATACCAAACAAATAAGTATTTAAATACCAGGAAATACTTTACAGGAATTAAAGTTACTTAAAAATAATAATAAATATAAGTAAACACAATGTTAGAATAATAATTATAATTAAGTAGTGGCGTAAGGAATAAAAAATCCTAAGATTGTTTTAAAAAAACACTCCTAACAAAAACAAGTCAAGTTTAAATACAATTAATAATAAATTATTAATATATCTTTATAATATTGAACTTCATAATAAGTTGCAATAATTATTTTATTCTAGTGCAAAATTGATAGGTGTGTCGAGTTACAAAATGAAATAAATATTATTTAGAATATCAACGTAGTATCTTATTTACTCACCGATATCATTAAACGCCTTGCTATTTCAGTTATTGTTAGTTATGTTTTGCTCATGCAAAACAATGGTTTCAGCCTTTTTAAATGTTGATAGGTGTTGGAACATCTTGTAAAAATAAAAATAACTTTGCACACGAATATAAGTAGTGTAGCAATAAACTATGAAATCCTCATAAATTGACAACTAAGAACGCAATTATTTTGTAAGTCGGGTGATTTGAAAAACATGTTTTAAATAGTCGGTAGTTACTTCATAAGCGTGTAAAATAAAATGACTCGAGATTTCTATGGTCGCCACAAACATTGCAAATATACTCAGGTATCGAACCATTAAGAAATCACAGTTAATTACTTTTTTACTGTTTTTATCTTATTTAAGTTGGTTGAAATGCATGAAGCAAATGAGATTATTCTAAATAATAAATAACTAGAACTAAAATATAAATAAAATATATTATAGGTATAAATAAATCTAAAGTATTTACTATTAAAATTAACATAAGATTTAGAACAATAGGAAAGGGAAAAAAAAAGAAAAGATTTAATTGTTTCTAATTTCAAATTTCAAATATTTGATAAATTAATTCTAAAACAACATGTGAATGTTGGGATCGATCCGGCGGCACTTTACTTGACAATTGGAGGCGATAACCATTGCGCCAAGCGCGCTGTAGATGAGATCATCGAAATATTTTATATCATTCAGTAACATAAAATTACAATGAGAAAGCACTATATTTATATGGGTATTGTATAGCTCGATCGTTCATTATTTTTGATTTCGATTTATTCAAAGTTTGTTATGAGTAATTTTATCTTTACCCTCGTTTTTATTTAAACTTATTTACTAAATTATTGCGTATACCGACACAAAAATGATTTTTAAATACCAAGATGTGTGTGATAGACGAATGTTTCTATACATATCTATTGATATGAAATTACCCACACATGTATATTGTGTAAATGATAGTTGTGTCGATGTGTAGCGCCGCTAACTAATTAGCGGTGCTGTGTTGTGTTGTGTTGTGTTGTGCGGTGCATTTTGGAATATAGTTATTTTATCTCACGAGTGCGGGTGAGCCATAGTTGTAGTAGTAGTGCGTATAGACACGCGCGTGTGAGTAACCCGCAGCAAGCTCATTCATTGGCACGTCAGTCGAAAGTGGAGCTCATTCAATGGCACGTCGGTCGAAAGTGGAGTTCATTGATTGGCACGTCGGTCCAAAACCAGACTCCGTGCTACTACTGAGATATTTTTTAAACTCATTAATACTTTTCCCGGGAACTCGAGACCTTTTGCCCCGAGTCACACTTGCGACCACTCGGCCATCGAGGCGTAATATTATTATGTGTGCTTATACTGATTTTTATCTATTAATTCCAGTATCCTAGTAATGGAGCGCTCAACAGGATACCTCTCGATGTTCCACCATTCCTTCGCGAAGTGGCTGGTGGACGTCAAACACTGCACGCGACGATATCTCTGCTGTCCCACTGACGGACACGCCGCCATAGCCATGTATTACACGCTGGATGCTAAAAGGTATGTCCATTAAAAAAAACATAAAAAAAAACAAAAGTTAACGCATTTATTTCAATTAAACCATAATTTGGTATTTTTGTAATGTTAACAGATATAAAATAAATAATAGTCTGTCAGTCTGTCCACCAGTGAAGCTACGTGCTCATTCCAAAATCTTCAAAACCGACTTAATACAATAGACTAAAAAATTATTATTATTGAATGTCCTGCCTACCCACTGATAGAAGATAGAAGTTTAGAAGTCAGTGTTCTAAGTCTTAAACAACATTATTTATATTATTTCTCTTTGTTTGTGTTTTTTGAGGAATGCTCGATTGGTTTCGAGGTAAACGGGGGCTTATAGAATAAAGTGATAGACTTTTTTTTTGGTTCTGTAATGAGTTCCTGTTGCTTTTGCAGGCATATATTATTTTAGACTCCGTGATATTATTAGAGAGATTTTTTTGAAAAATTAAAAAAAATAATATATGTACATATATAATAATCTTTATATATATAATTCTTCTGTGAGTGTGTATGTCACTGTACTTCTCTCAAACGACTGGACCGATTTTGATGAAATTTTTGTGTGTGTTCAAGGGGATCTGGGAATGGTTTAGATTCACAAATCAGCCCGATAGATGGCGCTGCAGTCGATGTTTAGGTTACTTATCTTAAACATCTGAACTAATTTGAATGAATTTTTGTTTATACATTCAAGTGGATATGCAGGACAACGTCTGTTGGGTCCGCTAGTAATATATAAAAAAAATACATATTCAGGAATCCAACTTGCGACCTTTTGCTCGAGAGCCGGAAACAAATTAGAAATGAAATAAAATAAAAATATTTACACAAAATGTTTAAGGATTAAAATTTAAGTATTAGTATAATGTTTATTTCAAATAAGCTTTACAATTAAATAAAACAAATATTTGTGTTTCAGACTAAGTGCGTTGGAGATACACAACTACGTGTTCCATATGACAAGCCTCGAACAACACATGGCTTCCCAGAAAAAGAACAAAAATACGTAAGTATAAATAATATTATTAGTTTTAAAATAGACTCACCCCCTATTACATGGGACTCATAACATAAATAGTGAAAAGTGGGTGTTACATTGTACAGTGGCATTAAGTGCCGGAATGTGCACCTCTGCCTATCCCTTCGGGGATAAAAAGGCGTGATTTGATTGTCTAGTCTATGTTAGTACTAAAATATTCCATAAAAGGTAAATTATTATGTTTTCGGCTTACTCACGTAATAATTTGACGAGGTACTCGACTAGTTTCGAATTTATCTTATTAATATTGTAAATGCGAAAGTACGACATATATACACAAGTATTGTAGTAATGGAGCGCTCAATACACAAGTATGTGTGTGTGAGTGTTGTGTGTACACACCTACACAAATTTTCATACACAGACTACTTTTTATTTTACCTCAAGCGCGAACGGAGTCGCCGGCGAAGCTAGTAGTATTTAATGTAGAAGATATGTAAATTGTTTTTTATGGTATAAGCCGGTAAATAAGCAAACGGATCACCTGATGGCAAGCAATCGGCGTCGCTCATGGACACCTGGAACACCAGAGGTGTTACAAGTGCGATACCGGCCTTTTGGGGATTAGGAGTTTGAGGATTGTTGGGGATTCAGGGATTGGGGAGATTGGGGAAGGGGTGGGTAATTTGGCCTATGGTAACCTCACTCACACGACGAAACACAACGCAAGCGTTGCTGCACGTCAGTTTTCTGCTCGGCCGTGGTATCACTCCGGTCGAGCCGGCCCATTCGTGCCAAAGCATAGCTCTTGTCTGTCAGTCTCTAATAATGAAAAAGTTTTATCTACATTCTGCTGCTTCGTTGGCCGAGTAGTCGCAATTGCGACTGCCGGGCAAGGGGTCTCGGGTTCAATTCCCGGGTCGGGCAAAATATTACTGGGTTTTTCAAAAAATCTCAGTAGTAGCACAGAGTTTGGAATTGTGCCCGATATATGACAATAGGCTCACCCCCTATTACATGGGACTTATTAAATAGTGAAAAGTGGGTGTTACATTGTACAGTGGCATTAAGTGCCGTAATGCACACCTCTGCCTACCCCTTTGGAGATAAAAGGCGTGATGTTATGTATGTTTTATCTACATCTATGTTTGTTTGTTTATGTACCAGTGAACAAAAAGAAGACGTGTTAGACTTACACACGCTGATCTTGCTGTGGGTGCTGGACTCCGGCTGTGACGTGGAGGCCGCGCTGCGCCGGGAGACCGACACCTGCCGCCGTCTGGACGCGCACCACGGACAGGTATGGGCTCGGCATCAGCACTTCACTACTAGACATCATTTCTGACGCGGACTCGCCATGCTTCGGCACGAACGGGCCGACTCAACCGGAGTGATACCACGGCTGAGCAGACAACCGTAGTGAAGCAACTTGTGTACAGCCGTGTGACTGAAGATACCGGATTTCTAATATTCCCTTCACCACTAATCCTCATGTCTTTAGATCCTTAAGCCCTAAAAGACATTCGGAGTCGCGGAGAACCTAACGGGTTACCGGGTCTCCGGCTCGACGTGCAGGAGTAAGAACGGGGTGGTTTTTAATCAGTATGAGTCTGGCACTCCCTCCCGCCTCACCCAGGCGGGAGCAGTCATTCAATGATTTCCCCCCATAAAAAAAGCCCTAAAAGACCAGCAACGCACTTTTAACGCCTCTAGTTTTGCGGGTGTCCTTGCTTGGCGATACCGATTGCTTACCATCAGGCGATCTGTCTGCTCGTCTACCGGCTGATCTAAACAGATACATTTTTATTTTATTTCAGAAGCAGGATATGAAAGCTGAGGAGAAAGATGGCGATCCTGAATCGGAGAGCAAGGACTCTGTGTCAGGTGAGTAGCGATATATGATACCAGTGTGTCCAGTTTGGTACGTGATAACCGCGGGAAGAGTCGGTGTTTGTTCTGCCGCACGAAACTAGATGGCGTTTTTAAAATACGTCACAATATACTTCGCGGTGTTAAGATTCTCCGTCGATACACCTACCCCGTTCAAAATTTTTATGTTAGTTTGAATTTGGCATTGATCAGCAATAAATGGACTAGTACCTACATGAACTCTCAGTGTTTCTCTCACTTACCCCAGTGCGCGAAAATAAAAGTACAGTCGGGGTGCTGAAAAATGTGTTTAATAGGTATTGGTCTTCAATCAATCAGGCCTTAATTCTTTTTTTGAGGATGGAATATCATCTAATGATTCTCCCGCACGGGTGAGGCGGGAGGGAGTGTCAGACTATTACTGACTAAAAACCACCCCGTTCCTTCTCCTGCACGTCGAGCCGGAGCCCCGGTTACCCGTTAGGTTCTCCGCGACTCCGAATCGGCATCGGCCCTATTGGGCCCCATCTGTGGTGGTCTGATGGCTCTTTGAGGCGCGCGCGGAACGCTCGGCGCCGTACGCTCGGGTCTGTTTCTGGTCGGACGGGGAGCCACCCATGCTCGCCGTCCGCAGGCCCGCGCTTACGGTGGCCGGAGATCGTCCCGCGAAGTTCTTTATCCTGAACCTAAATTGTTGTGGAAAATAATATTATTATTTAGAGGATATAAACACAACAAAACATCACGCCTTTTATCCGTGAAAGGGTAGGCAGAGTTGCACATTACGGCACTTAATGCCACTGTACAATGTAACACCCACATTCACTATTTATGTTGAAGCCTATGTAGTAGAGGATGAGCCTATTGCCATATACCGGACACAATTCTAGACTCCGTGCGACTACTGAGAATTTTTTTAAAACCCAGTCGTACTTTGAAGTTCAATGTGTGTTTTAGGCTCCTCCAACAATTTCCATTGAGGTCTATCTCTGACGACCCTTCTCCAAAGAGTGTCTGCTGCTACTGCTTTCAACTCATTCTCCCATCTAAATTATTATATTTTACTCTAATTATTTGACGAGGAACTCGACTAGTTTAGCAACGCGACAGTCGCCGCGTCGCGGGTCGCGAAATGCTGCTCATGAATATGAGCCTCTAGCATGGCTTGAAACTAGTCGAGTTCCTCGTCAAATAATTACGTGATTAAGCCGAAAACATAATAATTTATTTAGTATGTCTCACGAAAGTTACAATACAAATCTTTCCATGTCTTGGCTTGTATTTCCCCTTTTTTCCATCTCTGGGATACCAGTCATGTTACAATTTTATTTCACTTTTCCTGAAACACATCATACATCACCAGCCTATAAGTGGCCACTGCTGACCATATGCCTATTCTCACACGGATAAATTTCGAGCATTAATCACCATGCATGCTCAATGCGTGTTGGCGATTTTAAACTTATGATAAGAAAATCGCGGGTTACTCACGTGAATATGCTGCAAAAACCTCTACTAATTTCGCGGTCGCGGCGATGTCGCGCGCTGCTCCTGAGTAAGAACCCCTCTGTGGTTCGAAACTAGTAGAGCTTCTCTAAGTATGTCCACGTGAGTAACCCGCGATTTTTAGTTTATTATTTAAGTTTTATTTGATTCACGATACAATCCATTTTATTCCTTGAAATGGTAAGCAGGTACGTTTTTGTTCCTATGTAAAGGACGGTATGCCTATTTGCCTTAAGGAAATAAAAATAATAATTACTTTTATTACAGTTTCCTGTGAACGCTATCGAATGGGATTATAACCTAGTTGTTGTATGAGGAAAAATAATTTAATTGATATTTATTTATTTCTTTATAATAAATAATATTATTGGCCTCTGCTGCTCTCTGATTGCCTTACTGGCCGAGTGGTCGCAAGTCCGACTACCGGGCAAGGGGTTTCGGGTTCGATTCCCGGGTCGGGCAAAGTATTATAAGTGAAAAAAATACGTGTCTTATGTTTTAAATTAATGTACCAGACGGACATTAAAATAAAATTTAGGCGACTACCTTATTAGAAACCGTTTCTGAATAGGTACTCACTCCATTTTCTGGTGAAAACCGAATCATAATACGTTCAGTAGTTTTTGAATTTGTAATAACTAGACAGCGCGTCGCTCGACTTTGTTTTATAATAAAATAATATGTATTACTTTATAGTCTTATTCCCTTTGTTTGTATATGTTTTATTTTATCAGTTGTCGGACGGTCAAACAATTGTAATAATTAGTTAAGTATTGTATTATTTTTCCTTAGTCAACGATAAGTTTGTTTATATTCTATTTTAATTTGTTGAAACTTACTACTCCGTTTCTTTGAATGCAGTAATATCGAAAATTTGTATTTTTAACTAGGAAATAATGTTAAGCATGAACATTTTTTTTTTGAGTGGAGAAAATCATCCGATGACTTCTCCCGCCTTGGGTTTATTAACACACGACTTTTCTCAGAACAACTACCTTTATTATTTTTTAATATTTTTACAACACAAGGTGACAACATACATAAAAAGTCATATTACCAACCTTACAAAATATTTTGTTACTTGCCAACCTAACAGGGTTAAGCGAGAGGGAGTGTCAGACTCTTACCGACTAAAAACTACCCTGTTCCTACTCTTGGTTCGAACAGCCCGATAGATACTCTTCAGTTCAGTACCCCATTGATTTATTTTGATCCTATATCAATGGCTAACCCATAAGACCAACGATACTGTATACACCTCGCTGTTGATAGATCAAAATTAATTATTATTATTGGAACAAGGCCGTCTTGGAAATTATTTCAAGTGTGAGGGAGCCATGCTTCGGCACGAATGGGCCGGCTCGACCGGAGTGATACCACGGCCGAGCAGAAAACCGACGTGAAGCAACACTTGAGTTGTCTTTCGTCGTGTGAGTGAGGTTACCGGAGGCCCAATTACCCTCTCCTTCCTCAATCTCCCAAATTCCTGAATCCCCAACCATCCTCAAACTCCTAATCCCCAAAAGGCCGGTAACGCACTTGTAACGCCTCTGGTGTTCCAGGTGTCCATGGGCGACGCCGATTGCTCACCATCAGGTGATCCGTCTGCTCGTTTACCGGCTTATGCCATAAAAAAAAGTTATAGACAGGTCGTCTATTTATTAATGTTTATCCCGTTCTTTACGACTTACCGTCTAGAATCGGTGACACGGTGACCCGTTAAGTCTTCCGTAGCTCCGTATTGGGCATCAGTCCTGCTGGGCCCTATCTGTGGAGGTCTGATAAAGCTTGGAAGAGACTAGAATCCCCTAAGTCACTCTTTATTTATACATTTTCTGAATAACCGTGTTTCCCTTCTGGATACGTCATTTTTATAGCTAATTTGCACGTCAGTTATATTATTATAAGGAAATACACGTCAATTATAACCACGCTTATTGGAATAAACACTAAGTTATGCCCGTGAGTTTACTTAAAACAAAGAACAGTATTTTTCTATTGTCTTTATTGACCTTATTGATCGATTGATGATCTCACCCCCTATTACATGTAATAGGGGGTGAGGCCCATGGGCCTCATAACATAAATAGTGAAAAGTGGGTGTTACATTGTACAGTGGCATTAAGTGCCGTAATGTGCACGTTTGCCTACCCTTTCGGGGATGAAAGGCGTGATGATCGTGATGATCGATCATAGCGTGGTGTTTTATACCCTCCTAGCTTTGTCCGCGACTTTGTCCGCGTGGTATAGAGATATGAATATACATAGGCTACAGCCTATATCTTGACCTGACCTGTTAGTAAAATTCATGCAAAATTTGAAGTAAATGTATACAGTACTTCCCGTTCAAATCCATCCCCTAAATTTGGTCATACAAAAGTAGTCTCTAAACATTGGAAATAAAGTCTGTAATGTAATGTAATATTAGTGGAGAGTGGTCACCGGTGACCGCTTGGGGATCTATGGGTTTGAGTTTAGCCCGGACATACATACAGACAAACAGACATAAATTCTAAAAAAACATATTTTTGGCTTAGATATCGAGAGTAGATTACGCCTCAAGCATTCTTTAAAAAAATATTCAATGTACAGTTTTCACTTTTCAGCGATTTTATTATATGTATAGATAGATAGACCTTTTTTATATTTGATGGACCGACATTTTTGATGGGCAGACCGCATGGAATATAAAGGAACCGTTCGTTTTATTTGATTTAATATGTCTCACGATAGCTATTATAAAAAACTATTTTACTTGTTCGTTTGATAAGAGAATACTCTGAAAGTTGCAGATAACAATGATAGTGTCTAGTAGTCATTTAGATTTCTAATAATTACCTAATAGGTAGGTATAGGTATGTGATTAGATACACAAATATTCTAATGTATTCTTTGTTACATAGGCTGTTGCTAATTTAGGTACTATTTTTTATAATAACAATCGTGAGACATACTAATTTAAGTAAAAATCGCGGGTTACTCAAGTGAACATAATGATAAAAGCTCTACTAGTTTCGAACCATAGACGGGTTCTTCCTCATGAGCAGCGAAACTGGTAGTACTTTTCACGTGAGTAACCCGCGATTTTTAGTTATGTTAGGTACTATTTTCTTAAACATACATACACAACTTCACGCCTGTCTCCCATGGGGGTAGGCAGAGACCAAGGAACGCCAATAACTACAATTCTTACATTAAATTTCTTAAATTAACAAAAATAATTTGTAGTAAGTACTTTTAAAAACTCCTACTTTTGCGAAGCAGTCATGCTAGCTAAGGAGGAGGCGGGGTGCGTGAGGTAACGAATCTCCTCACTCCCCAGTCGTCGCGAGAGACAGATATCGAGCGTTAGATATCGCGGGACGATCTCCGGCCACCGTGAGCACGGACCTGCGTACGGCGAGCATGGGTAGCTCGCCGCCCGACCAGAACCAGACCCGAGCGTACTGCGCGTCGCGCTCCACGCGCGCCTCAAAAAGCCATCAGACCACCACGAATGAGGCCCAATAGGGCTGATGCCGATTTCGAGCAGCGCATAACGTAAACGATTATCGGGGCTCTGGCTGGAAGTGCATGAGTAAGAACGAGGTGGTTTTTAGTCAGAAACACCCTAACACTCCCTCCCGCCTCATCCAGTCGGGAGAAGTCAATCGATGATTTTCCCCGCTTAAAAATGTATGAAATTATAGATAAATAATATAATATTTAGGTACGTCGCTTTCATATCAGGCGTTTCATGAATTAAGATAAGGTGTAATGTTATCCTTATCTGTGTATATCGTAAAATTCTGCTTTCTCCTAGACGTTTCTAAGTAATCAATGAGTTTACTGTATTTATTGACGACATTACGCTTGTTGTTTCCGGTTGGTAGACAGAATTATAGGTGTATTTGACATTTGTTATGTTAGTCTCATTTTTGGCGGGGTCGATTTTAATGTCAAGTTCTAGACATATTTCTAACTCTGTTGTGTTGTATTTGATAAAAAAATATCGTTAAAACTTAAAACTAATTGACGCTGGCATAGTACCCAATATTTCGAGTTTGGCATTCGCACAATCGCACACAATCGAAACGCATGGTTTATAGTAAAAAAAATACCAAAATTAAGTTGGGCATAAAATCAGTTACTGCAATTATTTTTTAATATTTTGTTGTATTGAACAATCGAAATTATTTATTTTTGATTAAGGAAAGATATCTAACCTAAAAAAAAGAAAAGATTGACCCATTTATACATATATTTTTACATATTCTAGTGTCAACATTTTTACACATCCTGTATCCTACAGTAATTTATCACAATAATGTAACTGACCTTACAGGCGTACAGCCGACCAGCGCACATATTTCCCTTGAATTATGATTGTTACACTTTACGTATAAATTTCATTATCAATTATTTAATATCCTGTCCGGTGCAGTATTTTATTATAATTATATTAGCATCTGTCAACGACTTTGCCCGCGTTCCCATTGAAAATAAATTAGCAAAGTTATCGCCGAAATCATTTATTTCAATTAGACCAGGAAGGCACTATTGAAAGTTAAACAATAATAATAAAAAATGTCACTCTGTCGGTCAGTCCTGTAGTGAAACTATTTGCTCGTTCCTGCTGCTTCCTTACGGGTCACCGAGGTTCCGACTCGAAGAGCAGGAGTAAGAACGGAGTGATGTTTAGTTAGTAAGAGTCTGACACTCCCTTTCGCCTAACCCAAGGCGGGAGAAGTCATTGGATGATTTTAAAAAAATGGTGTAGATTCCGATGGAGAAGAACGAGCAAGAAACTCCATAGGGGTTACTCTTTTTTAATCAAGTTTACAATAGAATTCTTGGTTACATTGTTTCGTTGATTCAATTAATCAGCCTATGTGTATTCTAGAATCTGCCTCGTGTTCCAAATTACATCCCGATTGCTTCAGCCGTTTTGACTTTATTGAGTAACAAATGTACACACAAAATCTTATAACATCACGTCTTTTATCCCCGAAGGGGTAGGCAAAGGTGCACATTACGGCGCTTAATGTCACTGTACAATGTAACACCCTTTTTTATGTTATGAGTCCCATGTAATAGGGGTTGAGCCTATTGCCATATACCGGGCACAATTCCAAATCTTATTTTATAAATGCGGTACAGGGGCGAAATTATTGACAGCTAGTAATGGTATAAGATTCAGTTGATCTTAAGCGACCCTAGCGCCACTAGCCGACGCCAAAAAGATAAAACATCTCAAAGTGGGCCATCGTTAATATTTTTGATTTATTTTTTTCATTATCTATAACCGTATCTGCTATGTTAAGATTATATAAAGATAACCTAATAATGCAGTCGGTATACGCGATTGTATTTAAAAAACCTAAGAAAGGTGTGTACTCAATTGTAGATACCTTTTTGTTATTGAAATTAAATCTTTACTTTCTTTGAAATGAAGTAATGTTTTTGATGTGGCTTTAACTTGTTCAAAAAGTCTTTTAATTGAAGATCTAAGTTGATTTACAACGATTTTATTATTGAAATACCAATTGCGGAATGCTGATCATGAATATGAGCCTCTATTATGGCATTTTTTATGGTATATTGTAAACGAGCAGACGGATCACCTGATGGTAAGCAATCGTTGCAAGTGTCGGTAACACTGCCTTTTGGGAGTTGGATATTTGAGGATTGTGGGGGATTGCGGTATTGTGGGGTAATCGGGCCTCCGGTAACCTCACTCACACGACGAAACACAACGCAAGCGTTGTTTCACGACGGTGTCCTGCTCGGCCGTGAAACAAACAAATAAACAACACAACCAGT